GGACTGGAGGGTGCTGTGTGTGTGCTGGGGGGCGGGTTGTAGGAGCTCGGGGCTGGGGGTGCAGCATGTAGGGTGCTGAAGAGGTGCAGGGGGGGACTGGAGGGTGCTGTGTGTGTGCTGGGGGGCGGGTTGTAGGAGCTCGGGGCTGGGGGTGCAGCATGTAGGGTGCTGAAGAGGTGCAGGGGGGGACTGGAGGGTGCTGTGTGTGTGCTGGGGGGCGGGTTGTAGGAGCTCGGGGCTGGGGGTGCAGCATGTAGGGTGCTGAAGAGGTGCAGGGGGGGACTGGAGGGTGCTGTGTGTGTGCTGGGGGGCGGGTTGTAGGAGCTCGGGGCTGGGGGTGCAGCATGTAGGGTGCTGAAGAGGTGCAGGGGGGGACTGGAGGGTGCTGTGTGTGTGCTGGGGGGCGGGTTGTAGGAGCTCGGGGCTGGGGGTGCAGCATGTAGGGTGCTGAAGAGGTGCAGGGGGGGACTGGAGGGTGCTGTGTGTGTGCTGGGGGGCGGGTTGTAGGAGCTCGGGGCTGGGGGTGCAGCATGTAGGGTGCTGAAGAGGTGCAGGGGGGGACTGGAGGGTGCTGTGTGTGTGCTGGGGGGCGGGTTGTAGGAGCTCGGGGCTGGGGGTGCAGCATGTAGGGTGCTGAAGAGGTGCAGGGGGGGACTGGAGGGTGCTGTGTGTGTGCTGGGGGGCGGGTTGTAGGAGCTCGGGGCTGGGGGTGCAGCATGTAGGGTGCTGAAGAGGTGCAGGGGGGGACTGGAGGGTGCTGTGTGTGTGCTGGGGGGCGGGTTGTAGGAGCTCGGGGCTGGGGGTGCAGCATGTAGGGTGCTGAAGAGGTGCAGGGGGGGACTGGAGGGTGCTGTGTGTGTGCTGGGGGGCGGGTTGTAGGAGCTCGGGGCTGGGGGTGCAGCATGTAGGGTGCTGAAGAGGTGCAGGGGGGGACTGGAGGGTGCTGTGTGTGTGCTGGGGGGCGGGTTGTAGGAGCTCGGGGCTGGGGGTGCAGCATGTAGGGTGCTGAAGAGGTGCAGGGGGGGACTGGAGGGTGCTGTGTGTGTGCTGGGGGGCGGGTTGTAGGAGCTCGGGGCTGGGGGTGCAGCATGTAGGGTGCTGAAGAGGTGCAGGGGGGGACTGGAGGGTGCTGTGTGTGTGCTGGGGGGCGGGTTGTAGGAGCTCGGGGCTGGGGGTGCAGCATGTAGGGTGCTGAAGAGGTGCAGGGGGGGACTGGAGGGTGCTGTGTGTGTGCTGGGGGGCGGGTTGTAGGAGCTCGGGGCTGGGGGTGCAGCATGTAGGGTGCTGAAGAGGTGCAGGGGGGGACTGGAGGGTGCTGTGTGTGTGCTGGGGGGCGGGTTGTAGGAGCTCGGGGCTGGGGGTGCAGCATGTAGGGTGCTGAAGAGGTGCAGGGGGGGACTGGAGGGTGCTGTGTGTGTGCTGGGGGGCGGGTTGTAGGAGCTCGGGGCTGGGGGTGCAGCATGTAGGGTGCTGAAGAGGTGCAGGGGGGGACTGGAGGGTGCTGTGTGTGTGCTGGGGGGCGGGTTGTAGGAGCTCGGGGCTGGGGGTGCAGCATGTAGGGTGCTGAAGAGGTGCAGGGGGGGACTGGAGGGTGCTGTGTGTGTGCTGGGGGGCGGGTTGTAGGAGCTCGGGGCTGGGGGTGCAGCATGTAGGGTGCTGAAGAGGTGCAGGGGGGGACTGGAGGGTGCTGTGTGTGTGCTGGGGGGCGGGTTGTAGGAGCTCGGGGCTGGGGGTGCAGCATGTAGGGTGCTGAAGAGGTGCAGGGGGGGACTGGAGGGTGCTGTGTGTGTGCTGGGGGGCGGGTTGTAGGAGCTCGGGGCTGGGGGTGCAGCATGTAGGGTGCTGAAGAGGTGCAGGGGGGGACTGGAGGGTGCTGTGTGTGTGCTGGGGGGCGGGTTGTAGGAGCTCGGGGCTGGGGGTGCAGCATGTAGGGTGCTGAAGAGGTGCAGGGGGGGACTGGAGGGTGCTGTGTGTGTGCTGGGGGGCGGGTTGTAGGAGCTCGGGGCTGGGGGTGCAGCATGTAGGGTGCTGAAGAGGTGCAGGGGGGGACTGGAGGGTGCTGTGTGTGTGCTGGGGGGCGGGTTGTAGGAGCTCGGGGCTGGGGGTGCAGCATGTAGGGTGCTGAAGAGGTGCAGGGGGGGACTGGAGGGTGCTGTGTGTGTGCTGGGGGGCGGGTTGTAGGAGCTCGGGGCTGGGGGTGCAGCATGTAGGGTGCTGAAGAGGTGCAGGGGGGGACTGGAGGGTGCTGTGTGTGTGCTGGGGGGCGGGTTGTAGGAGCTCGGGGCTGGGGGTGCAGCATGTAGGGTGCTGAAGAGGTGCAGGGGGGGACTGGAGGGTGCTGTGTGTGTGCTGGGGGGCGGGTTGTAGGAGCTCGGGGCTGGGGGTGCAGCATGTAGGGTGCTGAAGAGGTGCAGGGGGGGACTGGAGGGTGCTGTGTGTGTGCTGGGGGGCGGGTTGTAGGAGCTCGGGGCTGGGGGTGCAGCATGTAGGGTGCTGAAGAGGTGCAGGGGGGGACTGGAGGGTGCTGTGTGTGTGCTGGGGGGCGGGTTGTAGGAGCTCGGGGCTGGGGGTGCAGCATGTAGGGTGCTGAAGAGGTGCAGGGGGGGACTGGAGGGTGCTGTGTGTGTGCTGGGGGGCGGGTTGTAGGAGCTCGGGGCTGGGGGTGCAGCATGTAGGGTGCTGAAGAGGTGCAGGGGGGGACTGGAGGGTGCTGTGTGTGTGCTGGGGGGCGGGTTGTAGGAGCTCGGGGCTGGGGGTGCAGCATGTAGGGTGCTGAAGAGGTGCAGGGGGGGACTGGAGGGTGCTGTGTGTGTGCTGGGGGGCGGGTTGTAGGAGCTCGGGGCTGGGGGTGCAGCATGTAGGGTGCTGAAGAGGTGCAGGGGGGGACTGGAGGGTGCTGTGTGTGTGCTGGGGGGCGGGTTGTAGGAGCTCGGGGCTGGGGGTGCAGCATGTAGGGTGCTGAAGAGGTGCAGGGGGGGACTGGAGGGTGCTGTGTGTGTGCTGGGGGGCGGGTTGTAGGAGCTCGGGGCTGGGGGTGCAGCATGTAGGGTGCTGAAGAGGTGCAGGGGGGGACTGGAGGGTGCTGTGTGTGTGCTGGGGGGCGGGTTGTAGGAGCTCGGGGCTGGGGGTGCAGCATGTAGGGTGCTGAAGAGGTGCAGGGGGGGACTGGAGGGTGCTGTGTGTGTGCTGGGGGGCGGGTTGTAGGAGCTCGGGGCTGGGGGTGCAGCATGTAGGGTGCTGAAGAGGTGCAGGGGGGGACTGGAGGGTGCTGTGTGTGTGCTGGGGGGCGGGTTGTAGGAGCTCGGGGCTGGGGGTGCAGCATGTAGGGTGCTGAAGAGGTGCAGGGGGGGACTGGAGGGTGCTGTGTGTGTGCTGGGGGGCGGGTTGTAGGAGCTCGGGGCTGGGGGTGCAGCATGTAGGGTGCTGAAGAGGTGCAGGGGGGGACTGGAGGGTGCTGTGTGTGTGCTGGGGGGCGGGTTGTAGGAGCTCGGGGCTGGGGGTGCAGCATGTAGGGTGCTGAAGAGGTGCAGGGGGGGACTGGAGGGTGCTGTGTGTGTGCTGGGGGGCGGGTTGTAGGAGCTCGGGGCTGGGGGTGCAGCATGTAGGGTGCTGAAGAGGTGCAGGGGGGGACTGGAGGGTGCTGTGTGTGTGCTGGGGGGCGGGTTGTAGGAGCTCGGGGCTGGGGGTGCAGCATGTAGGGTGCTGAAGAGGTGCAGGGGGGGACTGGAGGGTGCTGTGTGTGTGCTGGGGGGCGGGTTGTAGGAGCTCGGGGCTGGGGGTGCAGCATGTAGGGTGCTGAAGAGGTGCAGGGGGGGACTGGAGGGTGCTGTGTGTGTGCTGGGGGGCGGGTTGTAGGAGCTCGGGGCTGGGGGTGCAGCATGTAGGGTGCTGAAGAGGTGCAGGGGGGGACTGGAGGGTGCTGTGTGTGTGCTGGGGGGCGGGTTGTAGGAGCTCGGGGCTGGGGGTGCAGCATGTAGGGTGCTGAAGAGGTGCAGGGGGGGACTGGAGGGTGCTGTGTGTGTGCTGGGTCCCGCGGGCGGGGGGGACCTCTGGAGCACAGCCCAGGGCAGGGGAAGGGGGGGAAGGGACCGACCCCCTGAAAGGGCTCCGTGCTCTACCAGCGAGCCGGGGCTGGGCTCTGGGGCCAGACGTTCAAACCACGGGAGCCACTTCCCACGGCTGCTGACACCAAGGTGTGGGGAGTCACCAGGCCCACTGGGCCCAGAGGCATTGTGGGGGGAACCGGCTCTTCAGCCAGCTCCCCCCCAGTTCCTGCTTCCCCCGCCTTGCTGCCTCTGGTGGCATATTGGGTAGTCGACTAGTCCAGTGTTTCTCAACCTTTTTTTATAAAGTACCCCCCCTTTAAAAAAAAAAAAAGTACCCCCAGTATCTAGAGTTTTCAGACACACAACTTCTTTTTCTACCAGTGCAACACATTTGTTTAAACGATTGTAGCTGGGCGGGCGATGACATTTTTGGGTGTAAAAAGGACAAAAATAATAAAGATTGGGTAGTCGACTAGTCCAGTGTTTCTCAACCTTTTTTTATAAAGTACCCCCCCTTTAAAAAAAAAAAAAGTACCCCCAGTATCTAGAGTTTTCAGACACACAACTTCTTTTTCTACCAGTGCAACACATTTGTTTAAACGATTGTAGCTGGGCGGGCGATGACATTTTTGGGTGTAAAAAGGACAAAAATAATAAAGTGCCGTAAAACTTAAAACATTCAGTTTTCTCCAAATGTCAGTTTGTTGACGTAGCCCCCAAACTTCTCTCCAGGAACCCCTGAGGGTACTCGTCCCTCTGGTTGAGAAACACTGGACTAGTCAGCTACTCCCTCACGTCCCTAGTCAGCAAAGGGACCGGGAGCTGTCAGTACGGGGGGGGGGGTTCGGGCCCCTTCCCGCCCCCCCAAGCCAGCTCAGACTGACCCACGCCCAGCTCCTGGTCCAAGCCCCCCAGCCAGGCTGCTACTCTGTCCTTTGTTCTGCTGCCTCAGGGAAAGGTGTCAGGTACGAAGGGCATTGGCCATTGGTTATTTGCAGGTAGCCTCCCTCACACTCGAAATTCCCATCACCTTCTAGGGATTGGTGCAGTGCCTAGGGAAACTGAGGCACACACATGGAGTTACTACAGCACAGCAGAATTCACATGCAGCAGAACAAAGTTACGAAACCCCCCAGCTCGCACACTCTCCCTTGCTGACAACATGCCTGGTAAGGGGGGAGGTTGCTCTGGTGGGCTCCGCAGATCAGACTGCTTATCACGGGCCACTAGCTGCACCCAGGTGGAGCCCTGCTGAGGCTGTGACTCACCTCTACACTCTGTGTCCCTGCAGGTGACGGGGCGGTAATGCTGGAGGCACAGGGGCGGTTCCTGAGGAGCGCTGTGAGGAAGCTGGAGATGCCAGAGCCAGAAATACCGGGGATGCTGGAGCCCCAGGGGCTGCTGCGGAGGAGTGCTGTAAAGCTAGAGATGCCGGAACCAGGCAAAGCAGGGATGCGGGAGCCGCGGAGGCCACTGCGGAGGAGTGCTGCGAAAGCTGTAAAACTGGAGATGCTGGAGCCACGTGGGCCGTTGCTGAGGAGCGCTGCGAAGGCTGTAAAACTGGAGGCTCTGGAGCCAGGTGAAGCAGGGATGCTGGAGCCGCGTGGGCCGTTGCTGAGGAGCGCTGCGAAGGCTGTAAAGCTGAAGATGCCAGAGCCAGGCATAGCGGGGATGCGGGAGCCACAGGGGCCATTGCTGAGGAGCGCTGTGAGGGCTGTGAAGTTGGAGACGCTGGAGCCAGGCGAAGCCGAGACGCTGGAGCCACAAGGGCCATTCCTGAGAAGCACTGGAGAGAATGTTCCTCAGATCCCCATGCTGAGCAGAGCTGGTGGGAGCCAGTGCCGGGCAGAGAGGAGGAACCCTCCTCGCGGGTGCCCTCCCTCCAGGGAGGCAGGGGGCCAGCCCCTTGCGGGACATCACCGTGCCTCAGAGTTCGGCCGCAGGGGAGCCCCTCATGTGTGAGCAGCTGCTCCAAGCTGCGCTCCCACCAGAGGAACCACACTGGAGACAAACCCCACCGCTGTGGGGACTGTGGGAAGAGCTTCCTTTGGCGCTCAGATCTGCTCCGCCACCAGCTCCTGCACACAGGGGAGCGTCCTCACCAGTGCGCCCAGTGTGGCCGTGGCTTCAGTCGGGCCTCGCGGCTCCTGCAGCATCAGAAAGTCCACGGGGAGCTTGGCCACGGAACAGAGGGCAGCCTGGCACCGAGTGCAAAGCAGGAACTCCATGGGGCACCTGGCCACAGAACGGAGGGCAGCCTGGCACCAATTGCACTGCAGGGAGTGCATGGGGAGCCTGGCCATGGAACGGAGGGCAGCCTGGTGCCGATTGCCCTGCAGGGAGTCCACGGAGAGCCTGGCCACGGAACGGAGAGCAGCCTGGCGCTGAGTGCACTGCAGGGAGTCCATGGGGCACTTAGCCATGGAACAGAGGGCAGCCTGGCACTAAGTGCACTTCAGGGAGTCCACAGGGCACCTGGCCACGGAATGGAGGGCACCTTGGCACCGATTGCACTGCAGGGAGTCCATGGGACACCTGGCCACGGAACGAAGGGCAATCTGGCAGCGATTGCACTGCAGGGAGTCCATGGGGTGCCTGGCCACGGAACGGAGGGCAGCCTCGTGTCGAGAGCACTGCAGGGAGTCCACGGGGTGCCTGGCCACAAAACGGAGGGCAGCCTCGTGTCGAGAGCACTGCAGGGAGTCCACGGGGTGCCTGGCCACAAAACGGAGGGCAGCCTCGTGTCGAGAGCACTGCAGGGAGTCCACGGGGTGCCTGACTGCAGGGAGTCCACGGGGCACCCAGCCATGGAACAGAGGGTAGCCCGGTGCTGAGTCCACTGCAGGGAGTCCACGGGGTGCCTGGCCATGGAACGGAGGGTAGCCTGGCACCGATTGCACTGCAGAGAGTCCATGGGGAGCCTGGTCACGGAACGGAGAGCAGCCTGGTGCCGAGTGGACTGCAGGGAGTCCACGGGGCACCCAGCCATGGAACAGAGGGTAGCCCGGTGCTGAGTCCACTGCAGGGAGTCCACGGGGTGCCTGGCCACAGAAGGGAGGGTAGCCCGGTGCTGAGTCCACTGCAGGGAGTCCACGGGGCAGCTGGCCATGGAACGGAGGGGAGCCTGGCACCGATTGCGCTGCAGGGAGTCCATGGGGAGCCCTGTCTCAGAACAGGGTGGAGCCCCGTGCTCAGTACACTGCATGGTGTGCACACAGATCCATGCCACGGAACGGGATGGAGCCCGGTGGTCTCTACGCTGCAGGGAGTCCATGCGGAGTCCTGCCATGGGGTAGGGTGGAGCCCGGTGCTCACAGCGCTGCATGGCATGCACACAGAGCCGTGCCACGGAACAGGATGGAGTCCGATGGTCAGTACACTCCAGGGAGTCCATGCGGAGCCCTGCCCCAGAGCGGGGTGGAGCCCGGTGCTCACTACACTCCACGGCATGCACGCAGAGCCATGCCACGGAACAGGGTGGAACCCAGTGGTCACCATGCTCCAGGGAGTCCATGCGGAGCCCTGCCATGGAGCGGGGTGGGGCACAGCCCTGAGTGCCTTGCAAGGAGTACACACAGAGCCCTGGCATGGTGCAGAGGGCAACGTGGCACAAAGCCCAATGTTTGCAGTGCAGAGAATTCATGCAGATCCCTGCTATGTCACAGAAGGGCCCACGATCCAGAGCGTGGAACTGATTGTACTGCAGCAAGGCCACGGAGAGCCCTGCCACGGTACAGAGCAGGGCCTGGCACTCAGTGCAGTGCAGCCAGGCCACGGGGAGCCCTGCCTGGTGCAGAGGGCAACGTGGCACAAAGCCCAATGTTTGCAGTGCAGAGAATTCATGCAGATCCCTGCTATGTCACAGAAGGGCCCACGATCCAGAGCGTGGAACTGATTGTACTGCAGCAAGGCCACGGAGAGCCCTGCCACGGTACAGAGCAGGGCCTGGCACTCAGTGCAGTGCAGCCAGGCCACGGGGAGCCCTGCCACGG